TGAATGGGTTCATCCGCTAGTTGCCGTTCAAAAGAAAGATGGCTCTATTCGTGTATGCACCGACCTTCGAGCGCTTAATCGACATATACTTGTGAACAAGTTCCCTCTGCCTTCTATCGACGAGTTGATGGTTAAGCTATCAAACGCCAAACTTTTCTCAAAGCTGGATATTCGCAGTGCATACTACCACATGCCACTCACTCCAGATTGCAGACACGTGACTGCTTTCCTCACGCAAGACGGGTTGTATCAATATAGTGGTACCAGTGGGCCTTAGTACTGTCCCAGCAGCTTGACAGCAATTTATTACGCTACCGTTAGCAGATCTCAAAGGATGCGTTGTGTATATGAATGATATTTGTGTATTTGGTAGTAACTCCACCGAACATCAGGAAAACCTTCATAATATGCTGCATTGACTGAATGAACTGAATCTCCGCCTGAATACCATCAAATGCCAGTTCGCTGTAACGGAGGTCGAGTTTGTTGGACATGTTATTTCTACCTCGGGTATTAAGTCTAATCTGCAGAAAACCAGAGGCATCACTGATTGTCTAAAACTATGCAACGTTACACAGCTGGAACACTTCTTGTGTTTGTGTTCTTATTACATTTGACCTTAACCGAATTTTGCGACCATTGCCGAGCCGTTACTGAGGTTCGCGCGCCAAAACCAGGAATTTTGTTTGGCCACTGAACAATACGATGTTCACATGACCATGCGAGCGATGATTGCATCCACTCCCACGGTAGTGATCTTCAATGAACAATGTGCAACGTTTGTTTCAACGGATGCTTCAGATGTTGGCTTGCGTGCAGTGCTGTCCCAGCTGCACGGTGTCGAGGAGAAATTGATAGCGTACGCATCACGTGACGTGTGGAGTACCACAGGGCTCGGTTCTTGGACCTCGTCTATTCTTGGTGTTCATTAACGATTTGGCGAGATCAATTACTTCCGATTTCTTATTTTTCGCTGATGATATCAAGATATGGCGAAGGATCAGAGGACCGGATGACCATGAACGGCTCCAGCACGATCTTAACCACAGTGTCGAACTGGTCAGTTCAAAACGCTCTACCGTTCAACGTAGACAAATGTCGCGTAGTACAATTACGCCATAGACATAACTACACCTACATACTTGGGACAAAGGAATTGCAGAATAGCTCCCAGGAACGTGATCTTGGTGTGATCGTACAGAGCGACCTCAACTGTTCAAAACAGGCTGAGGTAGCTGCGAAAAGAGGCAACCAGCATGTCGGCATGTTGCGAAGAGCATTCGGGAGATTTGACCCATCAATCTTCCCAATGATGCTCAATTCCTACGTGCGCCCGCATGTTGAATACGCTATCCAAGCTTGGCAACCTTGGTTGAAGCTGGACCTAGAAGCGATAGAGGCACCACAACGGAGAGCAACAAAAAATGTGAAGGGCCTGCGCTATCACTCTTACCACCGAAGGCTGAAGTTGCTGGGAATTTTCAGCGGGCGCTATCGAAGACTGCGCGGTGATCTCATATTAGCCTATCAAATATTGAGTGACCCCAACCACGTATGCCGCCATTTGCTGAAACTTAGCCACAACACGCAGCTCAGGGGTAACTGCTTAAAGTTGAAGGAACAATATAGCCGTCTTGAGTGTCGACGGAATTACTTTTCCCTTCGAGTTTGCAAACCATGGAACGCACTCTCAGACTCAGTAGTATCCTCTCCTACCCTGGATGTTTTCAAAAAACGATTAGATGTTGCCCTCAGCTCCCAACATTTTGTTACCTAAGCTCCTCTGTTGTGGATTACGCCAAGCATGTTTTCAACAGGACTAATGTATCAAATGGACCTAAGTGAGCGACTATATTTTATTTCTCACTCCTTACCTCAACTATCACTGCGCCCCAGTGTCTTTCTGGATGTTTACGCGCGATATTTCTTTTTCATTTCACACTGATGTTAATTATCAAAGTATTCATCTCGGCAGACGTTCGATAGATGACCCACACATATTTTAATTGCCTCGTATTCACCGCTACCATCCTACGGGACATGTCAAGCACTTGCTTTTATCTCGTGATAAATCATTGTTCATTGTTCATTGTATCTTGTCTGATACTGAAAGAAATTACTCCACCGGCGAGTAGGAGGCCCTTGCGTGTGTCTGGGTATGTGATAAATGGAAATTTTACTTATTCGGACGTCGACTCACTTTGCGCACCGATCATTCTGCTCTTTCAACATTACTAAGCCGTGGTAACAAAGGCCAAAACCTGGTACGCTTGAGTCGCTGGTAATCACGTTAACGGAACTATGATTCGAAATAAACTACGTGCCAGAGTGCTTTAACCAAACTGCAAACGCCTTGTCGAGACTCCCACTGTCCAACGAAGGGGAAAACGAGGACTTAAAGGAGTTAAAAATGATATCGCAGCTCTCAGACGGAAGACCTACAAAAGCGTTTGACCTTATACGAGAGCACACTGACAAAGACCCTATCCTATCGAAGCTTTGGAGGAGATATCCACTTCATGTCCCAGTCGTTCCAAAATCCATGCTGAGTTACTTCCATACTATGACCTACGGAACGAGCTTTCTATTGTGAGCAACTGCATTATTAGAGGAGAGCAGTTTGTTGTCTTTGCAACTCTTATTCTTATAGTGGTTGCTTGTGCACATGAAGGTCATCCAGGGATTGTGCGAAAAACAGCTCGGATAGACAATACTATCGGTGGCCGAAGTTGAATTTCAGTCAAGGCGGTTATTCGGGAATGTTACGTCTGCCAACAATCAGATAAGTGTGCGAGGCCCCTGGATGCTACAGTCCAATCTATCGTGTACCCAATGAAGCCATGGGCAAAATTGACATCGATATTATGGGCCCGTTTGCCAATGCACCTCCGCAGTAGGGAAACGTGCTAGTGGCTACCGGCTTCTACAGCAAATGGCCAGAGGCCATTCGGTGCGGGGATGTAACTGCAGCCGTCATCGTAAAGTGGCTCCGTTGTTTGTTTGCAAGATACGATTTGCCATAAGAAATATGCACTGATAACGGCCCAAAATTTCGAAGTAACGAGTATGCTGAATTGCTAAGGGGCAATGGTATCAGACACACGAGGACTGTAGCTTATTATCCTGCAGCGAAAGGACTCATCGAACGACTTAATCGTACTTTGAAAGAATCTCTACAAGTCCTTCGGCTTTCGGGAGAATCCTGTGATGATGCGTTGGTATCTGCATTGGAGGTATACAGAACCACTCCACATACTGCAACGGCAAGGGCCCCCTCGGAGCTAATGCTGGGGCGAACAATTCGAACTCGATTAAATGCAGCCTTTACATCCGAAGAAACCGCCGATCACAGAGAATACGAAAGACGGGCTGTTTACCAGGCTAAATATAGACGCGTTGGGAAAACGTATCCTCCAGGGACATTTGTTCGTGTGAGACTACCCAATTCCCGGAAAGGAGGTAATGTATTCGGACCGCCGACCCGTGTGGAATCTGTGTGCACGCCAGGAACTTACAAGTTGGCTGATGGGACAAAGGTGAATGCAAGACGGCTGCATACAGCGCTTTCCAACGTGCTATTGAACAGACGAACACACCTACAACACAGCGCTCGGTACAAACTAATACAAACTTACGACGTTCCGGTCGGATACGCCGCCCTGTCTACCGATACGCTTTAACGGATAACACCACATGACAATTCTTCGGGGTGCTGACATTAAATTAGATCGTTCATGGACATGTAGTGCCTATATTTTTACGAACAGAGGAGGGGACAATGTCGTGTTCAAATACTTTGCTTTGCTTTTGCCCTCGATTCGCTTATCCTACTCACACTTCTAGTTAGCACTCGTTGACCTATCATGTGAGCTTGCATTCGATTGGTTGCAATGCGAACCTCTATCGATTTAATTGTACTGCGCGTGTGTGCGGACAGTTTCCTCCATACATACGTTCCGGTGCTGCTCTGATCTGCTGCTTTTTCGAGATCCAACAGTAGTGAGCACCAAAGGGATGCAACCACATGAAGAGACCTGGTGAATGGGAGACGACGACATGATTCGTCGGTGTCCCTTCTTCCTCACCCTAAAAAAGAACAAACTGAAAAACAATTTCAAAAACTGTGAGTGGTAAAATAGACAAAAAAAGCAGTTCTTGTTGCTCTTTTCTTATTATTCATATTGTTTTCCCATTCAGCCATGATTCTGATGGCACAATATCTGTACCACAGATTGTGTAATATATATATATATATATATATATATATATATATATATTCGACGATATCCGTTCACGCATTGGCTGCATCGACACGGCTTTGGCTCTTTGCAGGGTCAAGCAAATCCGGCGGTCTTGCCCAGGTAGATACAGCAGGCTTCGATTAAGCATCCATTTTATGGTTTTACCATCACGGCTAAATTAATTTCCATGCGATACTACAATGGCCAAAGGCTCACCATGTGGGGAAAGGTGAAGATAAGTATCTGTCGCTCTTTCCGTTCTATGCTTCAATGTCTCTGTTGAAGGCTAGAAAGAGCACACAAACTTCTTCCGTGCTACAGTTGGCTTGCCGACTTTCCAGCCTTCCTTTATATTCTTGCCTGCTATCCTTCAGCATTTGTCTAAGAGACGCTTAACCTGTGGTGGCGGTGTCGCCCGGCCATATTTTACCATCTCATGGAATGACCAGGTGTTTAGGTTCCTATCCTGTTAAGACAGTATAAGTCTACTAAACTGCGCCGTCTGGCGTGTGCACGTTGTCTGTCAGTACCCACCATGTGATGAAGACTAGTAGGACATAGCGCTCTAGGACTCCAGTGCGTGACACGCATAACACATTTAGGCACTCCCCAATCGCATGTGTATCATCTTCCTCAAGCCATATTGCGCTTGAGTTCTCCACCATCCGATCGGTTATGGTTGTAACAGAAAGCCTTGATAGTTGTATCCAATTTTTAAAAGAAACCTTGATCCGTTTTTCATCATTCTTCTATTAACAGAAAGATATTTGATGCTACTGCCGGACCGTTCCCATTCCTGCCTCAGAAAGTGTATCATTTCGCAGCGGAAAGCTTTATCAATACGCCGGCAGCAGTCCAAGACCAGGCCTTGGCATGGCTGGAGGTAAGAAGGATTATGATGAAAGCAGTCACACTAGCGTCAACTGTGCTTGGTTTATCATGCATTTGGAGTATGTTATGGCTAAAGAAGATACTCAATATGAGTTATTTGAAGTTCTATCTGCAGTGCTATCTGTTCGATAACTCCCGACCGGCATAATCACAATTTAATACGAAGATCAATAAACTTGTGCTTATAATAGCGTATCGGTCATGGAACCTCATCGTGCAGGAGAGAAGCGCATTCTCCGAGTGCTCATTACCAAAAACTATTAGTACTCACTTATCACAATCAAGGAAGTCGGATGACTATGGATGAAAATGGACTCTGCTAATGCGGTTGTTACAGCTAGATGGTGTTATTTGGCTTTACATTAGAATGAATCATACCGTCACGACTCATTCCCGTTTCTGCGTAGAAACTTCCCATCGTCTTCACTCGTTGGTAGCCGTATTTGGACAAACAACGCATTAGTTTTCGTTCTGTGAGTTGTTTTCTGATCACTACAAATATCAACCTCCATGTTATCAGGGATAAGCAAACTGGTTTACTGTCACTTGCGTTTTTTCATTCAGAGAAATTGTAGAAGCAGACTTTTCGAAATACCGTGATATCCCAATCGACAGACTGTCCACATCATCTCATGTTTCTTGTGAAAAATCCAACGTAAGAAGGACACCGAACGGGTGCACCTTGTGAAAACTCTCTTTCTTGACTGGTGTTGGGTAACATCTTTTGCAACGTAAACCACAGTGTTCTGGCCAAAGTCTGGAGGCAGCAACATTAGGTAAAATGGTGATACGTTATATTTATGCTTGCTCCGTGTAGCATGTATTGTATTATGCTTAAACTTTTCTCCACTCATGAAAGTACCATAACTTTAGTATGGGGACTTGTTTTGTGTATTTCCCACCTCACCATCTACATACCGAGTATATGCTGAGACCATGGAGAACTAGAGTGTCCGAAAATGTGATTATTTCCTGTGCTACATACATTGAGAAGATGTGAAATAATCATTCGCCACCTGGAATAAAGAAAGTGTTGTCTCTCGAAATTGTCTGTTATGCGCTGGGCAACAAGTTACTGAAACTTGGCTTTCAAACGACCTACTTGATCCAGAGATTGAACTCAGTGAGATGTCAGTCATTCGAAATGATTGTCCATCTTGCGGTAGCAGTGTTGCCCACTACTGTCAAGATTACTTGAAATGTGAGACCCTTACCGAAAATTCCCTTGTTATTAACGACGCAATATTTTGCCGACTGCACCTAGCAAGTCATAATGTTGGTTCAAAGAAGATGCGTGATTCTTGCCTCTTAGCAGTTATCTATAAGCTTCCGTACACATCAGCAGACAGCAATAACATTCTGTTAAAAGCCCTCCGATATACTGTTTCACAAAGTACTCTCACTATCTTATAATGGTCGACAATAATGTTCCTTCAATAGCATCAATGTCTCTTAGTCGTCCATCATTTAAATCGAAGCTCCTTGAATTCATGGATATGGCAGTTTTGTATAATCATGTGCATCGACCAACCAGACACCGCGGTTCAAACAAGCCATCACTCCTGCACTTAATCCTGATTAACGAAGAGTTCCAATACAATAACAGGGAAATCCTTTTATATGTCTAATAGGGCACAGTCAATCCAATCAAATTTGTGGTTGTGGTTGTGGTTGTGGTTCAGTCAGTAGCATACGATCCTCCACTGGGCCGTAGCGACCATTCACTCTTAACATTTGGTTATGTGTTTTATGCCAGTATTGTTGATACAAAGGGGGACTCAACGTAATATTACGGACTATTTTAAGGTGCACAAGTTAGCAGCAACCTTTGTCTGGAGCCTACAGACGCACAGTTCAACAAATGACGCATAGAATGATTTAAAATATAAAATTAACAGGTCATACAATCAGCATCGAAGGTTGTACCATTACGCGCATCGCGCGGGCCAATACGTGGATCAGAAGCAGAACACGTAAATGGATCAACAGAAGAAATGAGATCTGGACGAAACATTCGCTAAGCCCATGTGACACCACATGACATGATTACAAAGCAATCCGAAACTACTGTATGTCGCTCATTAGAGTCGATAAGTACGAATGGCAGGAGACCATGGTACTGAAATTTACGAGTAACACTAAGCTACTATACAGTTATGTAAGTGGCAAAAGAAAGATTAAGCCCGGAAAACCATCAGTCAAGACGGTCTGTGGCCTAACAACTACTGCTATGGATGCGGACGATCTACTCCTGCAGTTTGCTTCGGTAGCTACAAATACCATGGAACCTTCGCCCTATCAACTCCCAACAAGTGTCGTTGGCTTATGCAACATCACCTTTACCCCAACAGCTGTTGCAAGAAAATTACAGTCTCTCCGGGAGTACAATGCCCCTGGAATCGACATGATCTGCCAAAAACTACTGAAAACCCTTGCTCCCACCGTAGCAGCACCACTTGCAACCTATTTCCAGGGTCTGCTTAACTCCCATACGCTCCCATCTGAGTGGAAAAATGGAATTATCACTCCAACATACAAAGGAGGTAAGCGATCAGATCCTGACAACTACCGACCTATTACTCTCCTACCTGTTTTATCAAAAGTGATGGAATCGGTAATCGCAGATGAACTGACGCGATACCTTGAAAGTCTACAAATAATTTCTAATGCCCAACATGGTTTCAGACGCGGACGATCTTTTCTCACCGATTTGCCGCTTACTTAGGACTCATGGACCAGGGCGGTTGATGAAGGAGTCCACATAGATGTGATTTACTTGGATTTATCTAAAGCATTCGACAGGCTCAATAACTTCTTTTTCCTCCAAAAGCTTGCTGCCTACGGTATCAACGGTTCCATGCTCACCTGGTTAGAAGACTACTTACACGACAGAGCAATCAAGGTAAGAGTAGCCGACACTTATTCTGAAAGCCTTTGCGTCTCTAGTGGTGTACCGCAAGGATCCGCCCGCAGCCCGCTACTGTTTTTAGTTTACATTAATGACCTTCCAGCAGACATCTTATCCCCGATGCAAATACGTGCAGATGATGCTAAAATATGGAGAGCAATTCGCTCAGCATCCGACCGTGTCTACCTCCAGGAAGATCTGACTCGGATTAACGAATGGGCAGAAAAGAACCAGCTCCCACTGAACCCTGCAAACTGCCACCTGCTGACGGTGCGCAGCTGCTTCGTCAACACACCTTTTGGGGCAACACGTCTTGCAACAGGTGACTACTGAACGCCACTTAGGTATAATAGTAAAAGAGAGTCTTGGCAATTCGCTCCAATGTTCGAAAGCAGCAAGTGTGGCGAACTTGAACTTAAAACTTGAGATGAGCTCTCGTCACCTTTGAGCGACGGCTAGTACCATTGATGATTAACTCCTATATTCGCCCTCATGTTGAATAGGCAATTCAGGCCTGGTGTCCAAGGTTACAACGAGACATCCGTCTATTGGAACAACCCCAAAGAAGAGCCACAAAGGTAAAGCGTAGACTATGCGATCGAACTTACGAATAGCGTCTTCGTGTACTCAGTGTGTTCTTAGCATACCGGCGGCTTCGTCGAAAACTTACTCTCACGTACCGGATACTAACTGAAAGCGAACATCCATGTACATCACTGTTGACCCTAGCCGCTTACAAACAAAACCGAGGCCACCACCTACCCTTTTGAATTGTAGAAAGTATTTTCACTCATTATCAGACCATTACAATCATATGGAGGGTAAAAATAAAAATCGACCCAGTTAGTTCAAAACGAATAGATCACGTGAAGGTCTACGTCAGAGATGGTAAAACGAATTACGTCTCAGTTGGCTGGTTGTTTGCTACCGCGTCTGACCGACGGCAGTCGACCTGAGCGTCTTCCGTCTTCGCTGGACAGGGAAATTGGAGAGCCTGGACCAGTTGCTTCTGCGAGCATAAGGACGGCTGAAACAATCGTATGCATATTGCTTCAGCTGTCGCAAGTGTACGAAGGCGGTAACCTTTCGTTCTGTGTGGCGCAACCTTATAACCTATTCGGAAAGCGTGTTTCCAATCCACCTCATGGCCGGTGTCCACATGTGGGCCAGAATGGCTCTAAAAATGGTCCCGGCGCCCCCATTGACGCATCCAACGAGGGCAATGTTCGTTCACGCGTTTGGATAACTGCCGCGCCGTTCGACTAATATACGTTGCGCCACATGCGCATTCGAATTGATAAATTACCAATGAGTTGGTCAGCATCGGCATCTTGGCCTTGTTTTGTGAACGAATGAGTGGTTCCGTTGAAAACGTTTACTTCGACGAGGCTGCTGGGAAGGTCGATTTTACCGTGGCCGAAAGGCTTCTGGTTAGACGCTCGGTAGCCGCGTCCCCTCTGAATGGTAAACAAATAAATAGCTCTTTCTTTGCTGCTGTTAACTGTGGTATTGGTCTGGGTTTTTCTTGGAAAATCCTTAAAGTAAATCTATCGGGATAAACGTTTTCACGTAGAGTATTCTGTATGAGCATTAACTCCGCGTCTTGGGTGTCTTCCGTACAGATTCGACGTGCTCTTGAGGTAAGACAGTGAACCAAGTTGCGCTTGTATCTCATAGGAACAAAGCTGTGAAACTTCGTGTACTGACCTATCCACGTCGTTTTGCTGTAGACCTGATGCTGGATGGATCCGTCTGGTCTCCTAGTTAACAAAGTATCGAGATATGGTAGCCGATTATCGCTTTCCTTCTCGTAAGTAAACTGCACTGCTGCATGCATTCAGTTGAAGCGGACAAGAATTTCATCCATATTAACACGTTTATCCACCACAACAAATATATCGTCCAGATATCAATGATAGTGTTCAAAAAGATCTATCGCCGCCAGCATTTTGGTTCTCTATAGCTTTGCCTTGAAGATATTCGCTAATGGCGGTCCGAGGGGGGATCGTATGGCGACGCCTTCTTTCTGCCGGTAGTATTTCTCGTTGAATAAAAACTGCACATTCCAGGTGCTACGTAACAGT